TGTTCACCAACTCAGAAGCTCTCTGAACCCAGTCCTTTTGGGTTTTATGGAGGCTTTATTACTTAAGCATGATTGATTAAAGCATTAGCCACTGACGATTGATTCAACCTCCAGCCCCTCTCCCCTCCCTAGAGGTGGGGGTGGGGAGGGGGGCTGGAAGTTTCAACCCTCAAATCACACCGTTGGCTCCCCTGGCAACCAGCCCCCATCTTTAGGTGACCTAGGGACTTTCCAAAGTCCCCTCATTAACATAACAAAAGACACCTTGATCGCTCTCATCACTTAGGAAATTCCCAGGGTTTTAGGAACTCTGTACCAGGAACAAGGATGAAGATCAAATATATATTTCTTATTATAAATCACAATATCACAGTAAGACATAGACAGAAAGAGGCATTTAAATGGATGAGATAAAGATGAAATACTACTTTTTAAGCTTTTATTTTCTTTTTTCTTTTTTTGGTGAGGAAGATTGGCCCTGAGATAATATCTGTTGCCAATCTGCCTCTTTTTGCTGAGAAAGATCAGGCCTGAACTAACATCTGTGCCCATCTTCCTCTATTTTTTGTATGTGGGATGCCACCACAGCATGGCTTGATGAGTGGTGTGTATGTCCGCGCACGGGATCTAAACCTGTGAACCCCGGGCTGCCAAAGCAGAGCCCTCGAAATTATCTTAATGCCACAGGGCCAGTCCCTAAGCTTTTACTTTCTTAGCCATACAAAAAAACCCTTTTGCTGAAAGGAATTATTATGAATACTAGTATTTGTAGTGATTCCAAAGTGGTTGATTTGTTTTATTGTGTTTGTGTCATCTTCATGTTAACGTTTTGCAGTTCAGTATTCAGAAGGTCTGGTTTTAAGTTCAAATTATTTTGATACTTGGTTCTAATCACTTTCAGGATTGAAAAAAGATACCTCACTAAGGTACACAGATCCTAATGGAAAAAGGGTGACGTTGGCTATGCCTACTAAAATATTAATTTTTCAGCCTTACCAATTATATGAAGGATTTTGTTTAAATGCAGCTGGTAACTTTCCACCTTATCTGATGTCAATCAATTATTCTTGCAAACTTGTCAATTGCATTTATATGTTTATATATAAAATATATATATCTTATATATTATATTTTTATAAACCAAAAGGTTTGGAAACCACTAAAACTCTTCATTTGAAAGGTGTTTAACTATGCTAGGTATGAGGTAGGCAAGGTGTCAACACTGTCATTTTCTTGTTGTTTGTTTCTGTTTGCATTATTAGTGCTATCTTTTCTCAGTGGTTTCTTTTTGCAGGACTCATTTTGTGTGTGTGTGTGAGGAAGCTAACATCCGTGCTAATCCTCCTCTTTTTGCTGAGGAAGACTGGCTCTGAGCTAACATCTATCGCGAATCCTCTTCCTTTTTATTTTTGCCTCAAAGCCCCAGTAGATAGTTGTATGTCATAGTTGCACATCCTTCTAGTTGCTGTATGTGGGACGTGGCCTCAGCATGGCCGGAGAAGCGGTCCGTCGGTGCGCGCCCGGGATCCGAACCCCGGCCGCCAGCAGCGGAGCGCGCGCACTTAACCGCTAAGCCACGGGGCCAGCCCTGCAGGACTCATTTTTAAGCCACGTGTCCATTTCTTTATGGTTAATTTAGTGAAAACAAACCATAAATCCATTTAACCTGGCTCTCATGCACTGCAGAAGTTCAAGTCACACTGAGAGCAAAGGAGTGGGGGCTGAGCCCTCCATGTTTAAAGCCCCTGCTCCATCCTCAGGCTAATGTGGCCTGGCCTGTCGGATTGTGACCTCAGTATGTGACCTTGGACAGTCTGACCAACAGAGCAGTGAGTGGCCAGTATCCATCCACGTAGTAAATACTAGTAAAGAGCAGTGTCTTTGTACTGTTTGAAACCAGAGAAGTTCTAATATTTTCTCCCCACATTCCAGAGCCTGGCCTTGCAAGGGCCTGGCACATGCAGGCCTCTTTTTGGAGGCCCCAGTCTCCAAGGTGAGGAGATGCTGAGCCAGGCACGGGCAGATGAAACATATGAGAAGCTGTCTGGGGTGGGGGGGTCAATCAGGTGTTGATGGGAGGGAGGGAGAATAAGGGGTCAAGATTGCTTAGTTTCCAGCTGGGAATGCGGGTCGGTGGGGTATCCGGTCTGACAGAAAGCGTGTCCTGGTAAGCACAGGTGCTAGGTAGCTGTGCCCCACCACGGCCTCCCAGGCCAGGGAAGATCCAAAGGCTGTCCCTGTCCCTTGTGTCACTTGAACTCTGATCCTCTGTACTCCTCACCATCATTGAATGGACATGTGAGGTAAGCAGCTGACTTGGAATCCTAAGACCTGGGTTCCAGTCCACACTGGCTCTACCACTGAGTAGCTGTATGACTCTGGGCACAGATTCCTCATCTGCAAAATGAGAATAAAGGAACAAAACCTGCCTGCTCCACAGGATTATAATGTGGCTCAAATAAGACAAGGCACAGGCATGTGAAAAGGCTCTGAGAACCGCAAAGCACTGTATAAATGCACAGCATTATTATGATGTATTAGTATCCTGTAGGCATGGTGATCAAGGCACTGGGCAAGGCTTATTCACTCGCTCTGGCTTTTGTTTTTCTGGGACACATTCTAGGAGGGTGCGTAGCCATGTGGTGTATGAGGTGGACTCTGAGATGAGTAACCTATGGGCAGTATGTCTGTATAGCTGAACATCCTGAAATACCACTGACCTCAGGTGTCCTGAGACTAGAGGTCACACTTGGAAACTACGTGGCCTGGATGGTGCAGAGGCTTTAGGGGTTCTGGAGTCAAAGAGCCAGGATGCCTGGGACCACTGGAGAAGAACCTGGCTTCCCTGAAACTCCTCACTCTGGGCATTTCTTCCATTGATCTGAAAGAAATCTAAGAAGAAGCTGGCACTAGACTGAAGCGCTGTTTGAAGCTGAGAGATAAGACGCCGTATCACATCCACTTTATTAACTTGAGGTCAGGCTTGTCCTGACCCCCTGTATAATTAGTCTATTACCATGTTTTCTGAATGCTTACATAGAATACAATACAAACCCATGCAGTGAAAGTACTAACCACCTGATTGGGAAGATTAAATACAGGATAGATGGGTAGATGATAGAAAGATAGATAGATAGATAGATAGACAGATAGATAGATAGATAGATAGATAGATAGATAGAGATAGAGATGATAGATTAATGACAGATTAGATAGATAGATAGATGATAGATAAATGATAAAAACAGATAGAGATGGTAGATAGATAGATAGACAGATGCTTAGATGGACAGAGGATTGGATAGATAAGTACAAACATGAGAAAATATTAACAACATCAGGATAAAAAGAACATTTTATTGAGCATCTACAATGTGCCAGGAGCAATATGCCAGGTGGTTTCAGATATGCTATCACGTCTGTCATTGCTGAATTCTTGCAGCAGTGCTATGAGGAATCATCACCCCCATTTGTCAGATAAGGAAACCTGAGATCTAGAGAGGTTAAGTAACTTGCCCAAAGCCACCTAGCTAGCTGGCCTGTGTTCTTTCATCAAAGTCTCACTGCACCTGAGTCAGAGGACAGGCCCCTCCCTACCCCCGCCCCAACTCCCCAGCTCTGACTTGTCGTTGTTACTTTTGAGCCTTTGTTTTATATGAGAACATCTTGGAAATTCTGAGAAAAGCCCCAAACCGCTTTCCATTCATTAAGAACCCGAAACCGGCCCCTCAGCCATTCCTGTTCCAACCGCCTTCAAGGTTCTCAGGTGAAAATGAGGCCTCCCCAGAGAAATCAAAGAGCTTTCTCTTCAGGCGCCTACTCCCTACTGACCAGAACAGAAATGTTTTCAAGGCTGGCCAGGCTCCAGGGGCACACTAAGGAAACTGGTTTGGAGCCAAAGGCATCTATGGGGCATTGTACACCGAGGCCCACCCTCTCCTTCCTACCCCCTTTTACTCCCTGCAGCTCCATTCACTCCCTCTCCTACTTCTCTCCCTGTCTCCCCACCCTCCCTCCTCCAAGACTGGCGGGGGTCTGGGCGGGAGCTTGGCCATGAGGTCAGCAGGGTAGAAGGTGCCTTGGGGCGTCTTGTCACAGACTCAGCTGTCTCCTGGACTCCTCCATCAGACTCCCTCCCTGGCTCCCAGGTCTCTCAGGGTGCAAAGATAAGACTCCAGGGAATTCCTTGTACCTTCCCACGGGGCTGGAGCCAGGAGTGAGTTTCGGGCCCCTGGCTATGGTGACAGGGAGGACTCAGGGCTCTGCGAACACTGTTGAAGCACTTCTGTTTGGCCACGGAGGAAGGATGCTCCTAAAGGGACTTTGCAGGGAGTTAAAGAATCCTTCATGTGAGGGATGGGGATGGGGAAGGAGGAGAGATCTAGAAATCTAACCACATTTCTCCCAAAGTCTCTCCCATCTCTTCCTGGGTTGGCCAGCTCAGCCTCTCTCCTCTATTCTCTTGGCTCCTACGTCTCTTTTTGAAACTTCCCATCCTGGAAAGAAGCATGACATCCTGCGATCTGCAAGTCTCCTTTTACATAGACTGGACTTTCTGTTGATCCCAAAAATGCTCTTAAAATGCACAACCAGGAATCAGAATTTTAGAATTGTCAAGTTCTATCTTATGGATGAGAAGCTGAGGACTAGAAAGGTGCATGAAGTGGCTTGCCCAAGGTCTTACATACTGCCAACTCCCACCCATTATACCAGGATAGAGGGGTGTCCTCCAAATTCATAACCTGGGACTCATCTTCCAGGAATGGTAGGTGGGGTCACCAGCTTTATTTGACTTTAATGGATCTTTGATCTCAAGAGTCTTTTCTGGCTGAGTTCAGGAGCATGGCTGAGACTCCAACTCAGAATCAAACCCCTGGCACCCAGTAGCCATAGCAGGAGCTAGGCGATTCCCACAGATACCCAGGACCAGGCCAGAGAGTCACCCAGGGGAGGAGCTGCAAGAGGCTCCGCCCACCTGTCTGGTTACCCAGTCCTGCAGCTGTCTCCCCCACTGAGAGAGCCACTCCATCAGAGAGTGGCTGTGTGCTCGCATCCAAGGTGTCAAGGTTGAGGATGGGGAGAATCTCAGGGACCCCGAAGCCCATGCCCAGCCTGAAAGCCCGGCCTGAAGGCCCGAAGAACCTGTCCTAACAGATTCTCCGCAGCTGTCTGGTAAGGGAACTGCTGGCCCCTCCTAGTGCTTGGAGGGAGGAGAGGGAAGCAGAGTGTCAAATACAAGCGCTGCTGGGACTGAGGGAAGGGGGCTGGCTTGGAATTTGCTGAGCACCTACTTTGTATCAGGTCTCACCATTGTCTGAAGAATTGTTGATTACTATCCCATTTTACAGTGGAGAAAACTGAACCTCAGGGGGAAGTAACCCCAGCTCAGAGCGAGCGCAGAGCCACGATTAGAGCTCTCGTCTGACACTAGAGCCACAGGTGCTCCTCTCTGTGCTGCCAACCGGGGCACACACCGCACAACTTCCCCTTCTGTGGTTTTCTTAAGGAGGACCCACGGCGATAATGCCTCTCCTCACCTCAACCTAATTCGGGCTCCACTCCTGCTTCCCAAAAAATGATTCTTCTGTGCTGAAGTGACTGGTGACAGGGGAACAGTGCCTGAGGGAGAAGGAGGGAGAGCATGACAAGTTTGGGGTTCACAGTGTTTATGTGATGGAGATTCTGGGAACAGGAGTGGAAATCCACACATATTGGAATTACCTCTGCTTCTCAGAGCCAGTCCAGAAAAAGATGCCGTCAGCCACCCAGGTGATCCTGTGTCTGACCCTGTCCTTCCTGAGGTGCTGCCAAAGTGATGCCCTCAAAATGACACCACAGTCAGCTCACACCCTGGGCGGCAGCATAGGGTGTATAGAAAGAGCTTGAGCTTTGGGTTCTCATAGTCATAGTGGGATCACTGAAGTCCCCACGGAAGACACAGAAGGGAGAGGACAATGAAAACTGTTTATTGAGTGCTTTCTATTCCCATTTGTCAGGTGGAAAACTGAGGCTCTAGAGGTTAAGACTCAGATGTGTCTGAATCTAAAGTTCAAGCTCTCTTCTACCAGTAGAGGCAGGATCGTGAACGAGATCCCCTCGGAGTAGGGTAAGATTCCATAGGCTGCCCTACTCAGGAGCCTCCAGGGACCTCTTGAGTGCCATGTTCCTGCAGATGCGAAAGGCTAGATGGTTCTAGGCAGAATCTCTGAGTTGCAGCTGCAGGGACAGCCCTAGGGGCACTGCCATCTAGTGGGTCAGTGCACGGCTCTGCCAAATGCCATTCCCAGCATTTGTATCAGAACTGGTGACCCGAGCCTCCATTCAGGTAGGTGGATACACAAATCGTCATTTAATGCTTGGCTCCTTTGCCACATGGGGTGAAGGCACCAGCTGCACTTGCCACTCGGTACGTGGATGCAGAACTCCATCCCAGAGATGAGTTTGGCGTAAGAAGGACCAGAGCCCGGTGGAATCCAGTTCAGCTTAGGGAGTGGGGGGCCCTCTTCCAAAACGCAGTGCAAAGAACAGGGGTTTGGAAGACCTGGATTCAAATCATGAGCATTTAATTGCTATGTGGCCTCAGCCAAATCTCTTCACCAATCTGAGATTCAGGTCTAGAAATTAACACCTACTAGGCCAGATGGTCGTGAGAATTAAATGAGATTAAGCACTAAGCATGTCACCTAGCACCTAGAAGGCATTTAGAGGGATTTCTCTACTTGTCTTTTCTTTCATTATAAAATGAGACATCTCAGCAACCTAACCAGAGCAAGCAGGGTGGGATGGGTTCACATTTCCGGGTCTAGCCTGGGCAAAGCTTCTCAGAGCGTGAGACTCCTTGGAGAAGATCCAGAGGCCCAAGGCCCAGACATTATCGCTTTCTAACATAGGTTGGCCACAGGGAAAACACGATTCAGTAGGAGTCTTGGAGCTGAAGACTAGATGGTTTCCCAGCTTACTTGATCAAGGGCAGTTTCCTATAGGAGGAGGAAGAACTGAGGAATATCCCAAAATGAGAGTTGAGCTAATTCAGGCCAGACTAGGAAGAAGTCGCAGATGGCCATGGGCTCAGGGAGGGACTGAGCAGAGTGGGTAGCAGCAGAGTGTCTGTAGGCAAGCCTCAACATCTTTGCCCAACATCCAGAGGGCCCCTGTCCTCCTTTGTTCACTTGGCAAATGCAAACACATTCTTCAAGAATCAAATGACCTTCTCTATGACTTTTCATCCTGGCACTGTCCCCCCCTCCCACAATGGGGTTGACCACTCACTTCATCTGCACACCATGTACCCTTTGCCTCGGCCCCTGCCGTAGGACAGTCACAAGGAACATTGCGTTCTTTCACTGCTTACACTCTCTCCTCTACTAGATGGGAGCTCAGGGGATGCCTCACACGTGTTTGATTCATAGCAGGAGCTCATTGAGCCTTTGGAAAATTGGATGAAAGGGTAGAAGGCGTGAGAGCCAGCCCATGGACCCTCTCAAACTTGATGCTGAGGATACAGGGAAGGACAGAGATTGCAGAGATGAACTAAAGGGAGAAAGTTTGAATATGATCATTAGTAAATTGATAATGTGATTTTATAGCTAGTATTTTTGATGAGGAGAAGGAAAGGGCTGAAGTGGAGAAACACGACAGAGTGCAGAATTATAGGAGCTTATAAATGTGCAGAGATGTTCATACTGATTTTGTAACAGTAAAAAATTTGGAAATAACTTAGTATCCATAAATTGGACATGTGTTATGTAAATGTTGGTACATTGATCTTATGAAATACCTTGCAACCATTAGAAAGAATGAGGCAGATCTACAGGAAGTGACATGGAAAGATGTCTCTGGCAATGGGAAGGAACGTGTGTCATGGTGCAGTGATTAAAAGTGCTTGGGTCAGCTTTCCTGGATTCAGTTCTTCCCCTCACTTGCTATGTAACCTTGGAACTGTTTCCTATCCTCTCAAAGCCTCAGTTTTTTTCATTTGTAAAATGAGGAGAAGGGGAGTAACTACTTCAAAAAGTTGTTGTGAGGATTCGAGAGGTTCTTAACACAGTGCAAGCATGCATTAAGCATCCAATAAATATTTGCTGTTATTATTGTTAAGTGAAAAAATGTAAACAGCAAAAAAATACGCATGCTATCAGCCCAATTTTGCCTTTAAATCTTTTCCTCCATTCAAAGATATACGTGTGTATAGTTATACATGTGTATATGTGGAAACAACTGTTGAGAGTGGTTATCTCAGAGATATGAGACTTGAGAGAAGTTAGGGAGGGATTTACACTTTTCTTTAACAGACTTTATTTTTTAAAGAAGTTTTAGGTTTATAGCAAAGTTGAGCCTCCCACACATGCCCAGCCTTCTCCACTATTACATCCTCCGCTAGAGTGGTACTTTTGTTAAATCGATAAACCCACATTGACACGTAACTGGGACTTACACTTTTAACTTTATACATTTCTATCTTGTTTTCATTTCTACAATGAGCATGTGTTTGTTTTGTAAGTAAAATAATATTAGTTAATTAATGGCTGAATCGCACCCTAAGCCCCAGAATGTCTAGACTCTAGAAAGTGGCCTGGTTCACAGAGGAGGGGATGACCCACCCTAGGCCTGCCTGGGAATGGGGCCCTCATGAGTCCTGTCTGAGAACCCCTACTCTGCTGTCACCAGCATGACCAGTCACAGGCTTGGTGGCCTGGCTGCCTGCTGTTCTCTCAGAGGGACATCTGACAGCAGCTCCCAAACCCGAGGAGGCCAGGCCCCGGAGCCAGGCCTATCCCGACAGTCCTCGTGCATACATGATGCTCACCCACACCAGCTGAATGGCTTGAGAGCCCCCAGGGAGCAGGTCCAGGAGGTTGGGAGAGTAGCCAGTGTCACTGGGTGGCAAGGCTGCTAGCCCTGGATTCAGAGTCTCCTCTGACATTCACAAGCACGGTGACTTCCCATGAGCCTTTGTTTCCTCATCGCAAGACAGGGATGAACCCGCCCACCTCAAGGGCACTGTAAAGATCAAGTGAGAAGATCTGTGGGCAAGTACCTAACACATTCCCTGGTACATGGAAGGTTCTTGGGAAGTTTTCATTTCTTGTCTAGATGACCTGCTTAATGGGCCTAGACCCTCGGATAAATGGCATGGTTGGGGTGAGTGTATAGTTGGGGGTGTCCTTCCTGGCAAAGTCAGGACAAGGACAGGGTAAGGACAGTCTTGGGGCTCCCCACATACACAGCCCAGGGTGGACCAGCTGCATTTCTGGTGCTGGTAAGCCGCTCTCTAAACAGTCTCCACCTTTATTTGGGTTGGATTTAAAATGTGATCCTCCAGAATGAAGTCATTCTGGATGGCACGCAGAGAGCAGGAGCTGTATTCGGAAGGTGTGGAAAGCGGCTACTCCTCACGCATGTTGAGAAAATGCTGCAACTGACAACTCATAGGACAGAGAAGCTGGGCTGGGAGGAGGTGAGCCTTTTGGGTTGTCTGCCTCCCACCTGCCCCGTCTGTTTCCCCAGGTGATCGGTTCCGACTTCAGCCTCTCTCTGCGCCAGCGGCTCTTCAGCATGAGATACAGTCTCCACTTGACCTTCATGTGTCTGAGTCTCTTCTCTGGAAGGTGAGCTCTGCTCCCCACAACAGCCTTGGTCTGAATGGCTTTGCATCAGTGCATGCGGTGGGAGGCGGGGCAGTTCTTCCTACTCACAGCGGGAGACAAAACCTAGTCCGTTCACCTCCCTGACACCTGGGCAATACAACTTCCTGCCATTTATTCTCTCTGGAGAACTCAAGCTTCCAAAATGGTCATAGACAGATGAACCCCGTGTGTTATTTGAGAAGACGCTTGGAGCGTTCCAAATTACCACAACATTCTGATGTACGGCAAATGAGTAATAAAATGGAGTGGGATAGGGACTTAATTAATTCAGCAGCTGAAAATTAGAGATTTCTTTTGGGACAGTCACCGTGGTACATGGGCACAGCACACACACACACCCATGGGAACACAAACTCAAGTTTATGCATACACAGTTATTCACATGTAAGCAAGCACATGCACCGAAATCCATTTTCTTTTCCAGGATGTGCATCCAGGGGAATCGGTTCAACATCGAGGTCGGCAGAAGTGACAAGCTCTCCCTGCCGGGCTTTGAGAATCTCACAGCAGGATACAACAAATTTCTCAGGCCCAATTTTGGTGGTAGGTCATCCTTTTTGTCCAGGACATCAATTCAAAAGGACAGGAACAGAGACGCTATGCAGGGGAGGGTTGCAGGGGGTTTTGGGTGACTCCGTTCTCTGATCTGCAGCCTGTGAAGGATTGGCAGTGATGGATGAGGACAGATGCCAGTGATTTTTCACGGAACCTTGGGGAAAGCACTCTGACTCTCCACCTTTCTCCATGGGATAAAGAAACACTTTTCCCCAAAGAAATGGTCCCCAGAGCCTCCAGACAACCTCTCACACGCTGTCTTCCTTCTGCCTCTACTTCCAATGTCATTGTTCAAGAAACTCATCGTGTCTCACCAGGACTACTCCACCTGGTCTAGCTGCCTCCAGCCTGCCACCTCAAAGCTAAGTCCCTGCTCTGCCACCTGGGTGACCCGCCTGGTCCCTTTGCCTGCTCAAAATACCTGCCTGCATCCCAGCATCCTCAGCATAGAGCCCAGAGCCCCTTGCATGGCACACCAGGCCCCTCCTAGCCGAACCCCTATCTGTCTGACAGTCTCACGTGCACCAACTCCTCCCCCTGAGCCCTCCCATGAGTGTGCCCCAAGTGTTCCCTGACCTCTAGGCTTCCCTGGCCTCCAAGCCTCTGCTGAGACTGTTTATCTGCCAAGAACAGTTTTCTCCAACTTGACTCTCTGGCAAAATGCCAATTTTCCTTTCTGTTTCAGATCAAAGACTTCCTCCTCTGAGCAGCCTTCTCTGATTCCTCCAGGCCCCATCCCCTTTCTTCACACTTTATTTTGAGCACATCTCCAAATCACAGTCATTACCTGGTGATACCGTCAAGATCACTGATTTTATGTCTGTCTCAGCTCTCTCTTGCAGCCTCTTGGGGAGTCTTGCTTTATTTACCTCACTAACCCCAGTGGCAACTCAGTGCTTGACACACAGCAAGTTGTTAATTAATATTTGTTGAAAGAATAAGGCAAGGAGGGAGAGAATGAGACCAACTACCTACTTCTTCACAGAGCCTCAGTCTCTCTATTTGTAAAAGGCAAGATTGAACCCCGGGGGTGTCTAACATCTCCTTACATAGAGCAGAAAGTAGTAGAAAGAGCCTTGGCATTGAGCAAACCTGAGTTTGGCTCCTGGCTCTACTGCTTGGCAAGAACCTTAGCTTTCTGAGCCTCATTCTACCTTTCTTTAAAACGGGGACATATCGTCTGCCTCACAGGGAGGATTGAATGAGGTGAAGTGTGTAAACATGACGCACTGTGCCTGCCATATCATTGAGGGTCAGTCCATTTTAATCCCTTTCCTTCCAGCTCCTCCCTTCAGACGATAAAATTCTATGGCCAGATCTAGGATCAGGGGGTTAGTCCAGGTCCTCTGAGGAGCGGACACCGAGAGGGGATTGTCTGTGTAAGATATTTATTGGGGCAGTAACTGTGAGGGAATATGGCGTAGGGAAAGAGGGAAGCTTGCGAGTTGTCTGACTGCAATGCAGGTTGACCCCAGGGAAGGAGAGAGGGAGGGAAGGAAGGTTGGGCGGAGGACTTAGCTGGCAGTGCAGTTCTAAGTGTGTTTGGAAAGGCCACCAGGAGTCCTTGAGCCAAAGTTGCTGTCAGAGGAGTCTCCCACCTCCGTGCCTCCAAGGCACAGGCCTGCCTTAGTGTCCCTGCTGCGTTCAGTCACTGGTAGGGTGCAGGCCATGGGAAGTGTGGCCCCAGAGCAAGCGTGGTAACAGAGTTCAGAGCAAGGCAGCTCTGGCCCTTGGTCAATTACACCCCCTCAGTTGGAGATCTGAGAGACGCATCTTCATGGCCGCGCAGTTAGGATTTGAGGTCTTTATGTCAAGGGACCTAGGGAAACTTCAACCTCCCCTGGCTTTCCCAGGCCTTGTTGAACGCTAACAACAAGAATATGAGTCTGCACACTCTGGTTAGGTCCACTCAACAATTTCTCTACCTCTCAAATCCCAAACAGTTAGGCCAGGACACTGCCCTTCTTGTTGCCTGCTCACTGGCCAACAAGATGCAGGGTCCTTGGGCAAGATGCTCATTCTGAACCTGAGGTGAACTCAAGGGGATGTGAGGCCCAGAACCACCTGCAGGGAAAATGAGGCAAAGGGCCCTCAGTCAAAAAGAAGGGAAGGTTGGGGCCGGCCTGGCTGCGTAGCTGGGATTCGCAGGTTTGGATCCTGGGCACGGACCTCCTCACCGCTCATCAAGCCATGCTGAGGCAGCATCCCACATGGAAGAACTAGAAGGACCTACAACTAGGACATATAACTATGTACTGAGGCTTTGGGGAGAACAAAGAAAAAGAGGATGATTAGCAACAGATGTTAGTTCAGGGCCAATCTTCCTCAAAAAAATAAATAAAAATAAAAATAATACAGGATGCCTGGTTAAATTTTAAAAAAAAAAGAGGGGATGGTACAACTCGCAACCTCCTGATATATGCTTTTTGGCACTCTGCCTCCTAAAGGAGCCTGCATTTACATGGCAGCCTGGAGGCCTGTGAAGGTGCTATTAGTCTCCGTGATGTCTGTCCACCTGGGTTCTAGGACCCCGAGGTCCTTAAGAGACGAGACCTGCATAGGATCTTTCAGAGGCTGAGCAAGACAGAGCACAGGTTTGTGAGCAGGCCCTAGTGAATGCTGGCTCTGACCTCTTTCCTAGGAGAAAGCTGCCCTCTGGTGGCACAGCTAACTTTTATAACTAAAGGGGAAGAAAGAACAAGCTCTGGTCCATAAATACAAGCCAACCAAGGAAAGGCCTGGACAGACTATCTAGAAACAAACTAAATATAAAACATAGAGGGGCTGGAGCTCTTGTGTGTTTTGCATTCTCCACATTCCTCAGGGAGGGCAACTAACACTGACTGACTTGCCTGCTGTGTTCCAGGCACTTAAAATAGACCCTGTAACCTTCCCAGCCCAACCCTTGAGGGTAGGCACTAGTAGCTCTACTTCACAGGTGAGAAACTGTAGAACAGAGAGGTTTAGCAATTTTCTCAAGGTCACACAGCTATGAAGTGGCTGACATGGAATTCAAACACTCTGACTCCAAGCTCCTCTTCTTGACGCTACACCATGCCACTCTGAGGGGCCGAAAACCTCTTAGCACCACATTCCCTCGGCACCTTCCAGGATCTGCCCCCAAAGATCTCCCTTTGTCTTCCACCAAGTATTAACACCAAGTATAAACTTAATTATTTTAATTGCATTGGCTCTGAAACTCCATTTCCAAATTCCTACCTATATTCTATGGCTTGATTCCGTTTGATTAATAATTAGGTTGCTTTGTCTGATTCCTACCAACGGGGTTTTTAAGCTTCCTTTGAATTCTGCCTCTCCTCTTCCTGGCTGTCACAGTCCCCTGAGGCACCCGCAGTTATTTGTCACAAGAGGATGCTATTTCTATTAACCTGGTGAGCAGAGTTGTTCCTTTTCCAGAGTTAGCTAGAATTATGGAAGAGGGGAAGGGAAGAGACTGCCATTTACTGAATGCCTGTTATTACGTGACAGACTCAATGCTGGGAGCTTTGTAGAGGTAACTAGTTTTGAGCACCTTCTGGACGCCCGGCTGAGCAAGCACTTCACGTACATTTCTTCTTGCCGCTGCCACCGTGCAAAGAAGCTGCCACACGCCTAATCTTGTTTAACCCTCTCCGTGAGCCTATGCTATCATTAGCATTACCCTCCTTGAGGGAGGAAACTGCTGTTCTGAAAAACTTGGTAACTTTCCCAGCTCTAAACTCACGTCTTTCTGCTGCCTGGGCTTTCTTCCACTTCTCAAGTCCTGGCCTGGCTTCTGAGAATGGTGACTCGAGACCTCAGTGGAGAAAGTTCTAGAATTCTAGATAGTTTAGGGTTCCTGGAGAGTAAAGGGAGAGGAAGGAGGTGTCAGGATGTGAGGAAGAGCTCAACATGAGCAGTCTTCAATGCCATCTTGTGGTAAATTTACTCAGATGAGGGAGAAAAAAAAGGACATCTGTGCACAAATTCCCAAATCTCTATTACACTGCTAAATAATTAGTCCCTTGCAATACCGTAGGAGATATCCTCTAAGTAAGAAGCAGCAAATAAACTACGTCGTTTGTAATATACACTAATGAATATAGCATGGTCTCTCATGTGTTAAGCTAACTGTATATTTGTGCATTGTTTTCACACAAAGGGAGGCACATTCTACACAACGGTTCCTCCTGAGAGGGGAAGGATAGAAATTAGCCTTTTACTTTATATACTTCTAGATAGTTTAAAATTTTCCAAAAGGCAAGTGTCGCTTTTGTAATTTTCTAATATATGTCTTTTAATTACGCTAATGTAGTGTTAGGAAACTTTCTGCATACGATTCTATGTAAGTCTTTCAGGTTTTTTTTTCATTCTTAGGAGAACCAGTTCAGATAGCACTGACTCTGGACATTGCAAGTATTTCTAGTATTTCAGAGAGTAACATGGTAAGTGTGGCCCCTTAGTCTTCCACCCAAGGAGTCCCTCTCCTTTTGTTTTATGGGAATACACTTTCCAGCTTATGAGAAACAGAGACTTACAGCTCTCCTGCACTGGGAATGCAGAAGCTGGAGGCCTATCCTGAAAGTCAGGACAGTGGAAGATTCTCGTAAAACAGATCTTCTGAATATCAAGAGGAAAGTGGATTCAAAGGCCGGCAGGGAAGAAATGAGGGAGTGGAGTGGGTGCATTTGGTGAGGGATAGAAATGGGGGAAAGAATGGAAGTGTAGTGGGGAAGCCAGAATGTCACATGGCCCCTCACAGAGCAGGAGACAAGCCATTGACAACCAACAATCATGTCATTGCTCTCAACCATCCTCTCACCTAAGAGAACCCACTGAAGACAAGGTGACACTAAAGGCAATTTGCCAAGAGGGCCCACCGTGCATTCTGGGAAAATCCTCGACAACCTAAACCCTTAGCTCACCAAAATCTTCAACAATTTGGTGGGCCCTCTGTGACAGAGGGCAAGTAAGTTAAGGCCCTGAACATGCTCCGAGTGGGGTTCCCTTTTGGCAGTGGGAGTTATTATCTAGATTGAATAAGGTGCTTTGTTCTCTTATTGCCACAGGCCACCACCCCAAGACAAACGTTATTCACCAGTGTCTACTGTAGTGTGTGCTCCAGACCTAAGTGGAGGTGGGGAGGGGAGTCAGACCCAACCCCTTTCCTTCTGTTTTTGGAGTCTTTCTTCCCTCATCCATTTCCGCCCCTGGCACCCCTCCCCACACACCCCCACTCCCACCCCCAGGACTACACAGCCACCATATACCTCAGACAGCGCTGGGCGGACCCGCGGCTGGTGTTTGAGGGCAGCAAGAGCTTCACTCTGGACGCCCGCCTCGTGGAGTTCCTCTGGGTACCGGACACTTACATCGTGGAGTCCAAGACATCCTTCCTCCATGAAGTCACTGTGGGAAACAGGCTCATCCGCCTCTTCTCCAACGGCACTGTCCTGTATGCTCTCAGGTAACTGGGAACCTGCAACCTCAGGCTGGCAGGGGAAACACCTGGAATAAAAGGCCTGGATACACCTTGGGTAGTTCTGATCAGCACTCATAACCACGCTGAGGTCCCACCCTTCTCTTGCTCCTGCGTGCTTAGGTCCTTGTCCCCGTAGAAGAAGGGACCTCTGTCAGTTCAGTTTGGCTCAACAAGCATCTACTGAATGCCTGCTCTGTGAACGGCCCTGTGCTGGACACTGAGGATACAGAGCTGAATGAGACAGTGTCCTGACACAGACACAGGCAAAGGAAGTTCAGGGTGCTGGGGGCCCAAGTAGGGGAGTAGGTTAGTGGTTTGGGGTGATGTTAGAGATGCTTTTACAGGACTCTGAGCTGAGTTCTAAAGAGAAAAAGGAAGTTAGCAAATGAAGAAGTAAAGGAACAGAAAGAGCAAACAGAGAGGTACATACCAGGAACTTTCCTTTCATGGGGTAGCTCCAGAATGCTTCTCTACTTGTCTGAGCTATTTGTGTACAGAGAATCAAAGTGCCATGCCCCAAGGCCTCTGCCACCAGCAGCCTTGGGCTCCTGGCTGCCCCCACCAAATCCCTGAGGCCAAAAGTTCCTTCCACCCAATTGTTCATCAAGCCACAGGTTGGCTAGAACAGGAAAGGTGCTGTATGAGGCAGCCCAAAGGTGGAGGACTCATCGCTGTCTGTGCAAGGGATGTGCAAGGATTGTGCAAACAACTCTCCCAGTGGCCTTGGGGAGAAGTTCAGGAACCAAATATTCATGGAGCTGATCTTTAATTCCAAGTTAGAGGCTGAAGTTATAAAACAAAGACTGAGGTAACCAACGAACTGAATTTCTGGATTGTTCATCTGACATTCCTCAGCTGCACTGAATTTTGCAAAGACCAACCAAAACTCCAATTCTTCTTTTAAGAAGCCTAACTAGACCTCTCCCTTGACCCCAACTCCAATTAACATTAATGTCCCCCTTCCCTGTGTTCCCATAGCACATATATGTGTGTATGTGTGTGTACGTATATGTGTGTGCCTATGTGTGTGTCTGTATTATGGTACATATCACAATCTGTCCTGTACATGGAGTATAAATAATGGATGATGGTTAATAGCCTGGCTCCAGAGTCAGACAGATTTGGTGCAAGTCCCTGCTCTGTGACCTTAGGCAAACTACTTGACTCTCTGAGCCTCAGTTTCCTCAGCAGCAAAAGAAGAATAATATTTCCTACCTCATAAAGCTGTGGTAGAAATTCAAAGGGATAATGCATGTGAAGCACTTTGAGCAGGGACTGGCTAGTGGTAAGCCCTCAGGAAAGAGTAGCTATGGTTAGTCTCTGTCTACCCTAAGGGAGTGTGAGCTTCCTCAAGGTGGGCACCATGCCATAATCATTTCCGCTCTCCCCAAGCACCCAGCACAGTGCTTAATAAATAGCGTGCTTAATAAAAATGTATGACTCCAAAGAAAAAGGAAAATAAATGTCTTTCAATTGAAATCTCCATTGTGAGGGCTTAACTGATGTTTAATTGAATGTCTCTGGGTGTTAGTCCCCAAGAGCCACAGTGCCTGGTGCCCTGTGATGCCCTCCATGTCCCCTGCATGCTAGTCCCCTCCAGGAGGCAGGGAGCTTTGGACTGCATGACCAGGACATCTGGGCTCCTGCCCCACCTCTGCCACTAAGAGCTGCGTGAGCCTAAGCGAGCCCCCCAAGTCTGTTGTCAAATGGTGACAGTAGTGACAGTGATCTCTGGTCTAGCTCCTCATGGCTTTGTCATGAAGATTAAATTTAAAAAATGGATGCAAAAGCATCTCAAACAAGCCAGTGAGTGATTCTGTCCTGTGATATTCTTGCAAGTTTGCCTCTGAATTGCCAACGTTCCAGCTTCTTCCACTCTGGACCTCAGCTTTAACTACGTCTCCCAGGTGTTGCTTAGCACAGAAAACCTCAGGAATGCTTTGAATGCAGGCTCCAAGTCACACTTTCACCGTAAGAGTCAAGGTCAAAGTCCTCTTGGAGTGGCCCTTAAAAGGGAATGTACGCTTTCTATAGCATCCTCATAACACTCTTTTTGAACCCATTTTTCCTTTCTTAGAATCACAACAACTGTTGCATGTAACATGGACCTGTCTAAATACCCCATGGACACACAGACATGCAAGTTGCAACTGGAAAGTTGTGAGTATATATCCTGCAGGCCCCTAAGATGATTTTCCTGGGTGACTTAGCTCTGTGTATTGATGAGGAGTGTCCTGTTTTTTATTGATGTTGGTTACAATGGGTTCAGCCCTTCTGACAGTACGTCCAGAGAGATTTAGAAAGGGCTCCAAGACAAACCTTCCAACAGTACATCTTTTGGGGGGCATCATTGTGCATTGGCACCAGATATTTCCACCTAAGAGTGGACAAGACAACCAAGGAATTGTGAGGCAATAGGACGAGGAGTGGGACTCAGAATCTGCTAAGTCATGGAAGCCAGAAAGAACGCAACAAAGGTTAGAAATGGCAAATATACAAAGCAATCATTGACATTTATTGCACGACTGCTTCCAGCTTCTAAAAGAAATTGTTTGATATATCTATAAAGCTTAATGCAGTAATGCCAATAAGTGGGCATCTAAACTGCAATCTGGGAATTTGTTTATGATGACGAACGAGCATTTGCTCTAAGTTGATGTGTGTCAAATGAATTCCTGGTATTGTTGAGTAATCTCCATTGTTCCTTAGTAAACCACTCCGAAATGCCCACCAAACTTGGGGAGCAGTATCTGCGACAGGTGTCTTGGGAAAACAACATCTTAGATAGGAGTTATTAAGACATCAAGGCATGGCTTGTGTGAGGAGGAAAAACTATAGTCAAGCACTGGAGATCAGTGGGCACTTCTGACAGGAGGACACAGTGGCCAACATCCCAGGAGCACAACCATTATGAGGCAGCAGTCATTTTTCAGAGGTAGACATTTAATTAACGACTCAGACAGGCAGATTAATTACCTTATCGATTAAATGCATGTGAAACCTTCTGGAAGCAATATAGCTGTTTGGGGGCAGAATAAAAGTTGAGGTTATCAAAAAGAGAACTCATCTCCAGCCCATGGAAAAAGTAATTGCCCTCCCTGTGTGGCTGTGCTCATCTTAAATCCCAGGAGTGAGATGCTCCTGGAAACTTCAATACTCTGCTTGCATAAATACCGTCCCTAGTGAGCAGAGGAAGGTTCGTGGAATGTTTATTAGCAGTTATTTGGGTACAGAAACCGCACCAAGGGTTTTTTCCTGAACGCCATCCCTAGAAAAGAATTGATACCATCCCATAATTGCTCATATCCATCCAGGGACAGAGTGGCGATAATGTCACGATTGTGAGCATTTACTAGTTGTAAAAGCAAAATGCCCAAGTAGGAGCTTGTACTATTCACTTTCTTGGATAGTTTTTATGTCTTTGGGATCCTAGGCCTATTTGGACAGCTAGCTTCAGTAAATTTTGGGGTGCTTCCAAGGGAAAGCCCACAGACAGTTTTTGTCTGTAAATCCTCTAAGAGCTCATGACTACTTCTCCACCCTATGAAGTAGGAGATAAGTGCTGCTCGCTGGTGGATACCATAAGCTAAGACTTAAGAAATGTTAGTCCCAACACTGGCATCCCATTTCCCAGCAGCCTTGAAAACAAAGGCAATATAGTTCCGAGAGGTTTGAGATCACGGGTACCAGAATCACTGGGCTTTTCCTGTCACTAGCTGTGTGACTTTGGGTGAGTAACTAATCTCTCTGGACCTCAGTTTTCTCATCAATGAAGTAGGAAAAATACTAGTATCTGACTCGGAGTTATTTTTTAACAGCTTTATTGGGATATAATTTACATACCATAAAATTCACCCATTTTAAGTGTAAATTTCAAAGATTTTTAGGCAATTTGCTGAGTTGTACAACAATTGCCACATTCCATTGTTAGAACATTTCCATCACCCCAAAGTGACCCCTTGTGCCCGTTCATAGTCACTCCCCACAGCCACCACCAGCCCCCGGGGCAACCACTAATCTACTTTCTGTCTCTACAAACGTGCCTTTTCTGGATATTTCATATAAATGGGATAAATACAATATGTAGTCTTTTGCATCTGGCTTCTTTCGCTTAGCATAACGCTTTTGAGGTTCACACATACTGGAACATGGATCAGTACTGCATCCCTTTTTACTGCTTCACTCCCTTTTTATTCCATACAAAAGAATACAAATAGTACAAGTCTCTTTGGCTTGTTTCCACCTTTTAGCTATTATGAATAATGCTGCTGAGAGCATTTGTGCACAAGTCTTTTTTTTTTTTGTGAGGAAGATCAGCCCTGAGCTAACATCCGTGCTAAGCCTCCTCTTTTTGCTGAGGAAGATCGGCTCTGAGCTAACATCTATTGCCAATCCTCCTCCTTTTTTT